GGGGGCGACCTCATACTGAGAAACAAATAAGATATTCAACAAAACAGAAATTGACTTCACTTGTTACTTGAACAGATAAGTTTCGCTCAAGTTTAAGTTACAGGATTAGGAGCACTATGTAAATTAATACAAGTAAATACTGTTACAAGCCTGGTCAACGGTCAAGGAAGTAACATAAATAAAACACTCGACAAATGAAATACCTTTTAAGAACCCTTAGAGTCGGGTCCATTTATTCGTCTTTTTTTGTTGCTTTCTTTTTTTTTTAAACACGCAAAACATGAAGCGTGTACCTTGGAGAGGACCAACAAGAAATAATAAACAAAAAGTATGCTCTACCGAAACACCCACAAAAAAACTATATACACCGAACAAAGAAAATAACAGAAATAAAAATACAATACTACAGTAAACCAAATTTACACACACAACACAGGAAAACACTCCACTTTCGATCTTAATATGTTAATGTAGAAGCTTATATGGAACAGTGGCCCAGCAAGACATGACATTTAAGTATAATTATATATCCAGATGTGTAGCGGAATGACAATAAAGCTCAACTTGATTTGGACTTGACTTGATATTTATTAATAAAACCCTTTACTAAACAAAATATAAAATGGCTATACATTAAATTGTTAATTTGAATAGTCACCACACAATAATGAATAGGAAAACAGAAAGCAAATAATTCTAAAGGTGCTGTTGACTTGAAATTTTCTTCGGATGTTTATAGCAACCAAAGAAATCCATATATGCAAAGAAAACAAATCTGATTAGTGTACAAATCAAGTTATGTTTAGTAAAATGAAATGACTCGGGGAGAAAGTATTGAACACATGAAGAAAGCGAGGTGTAGATAGGCAGTGAAAGCCCAGCAGCAGCTAAAATTCTTCAGTAGTTATTCAGCAACCCTCTGCCCTTCCTCATTGTAAATCAATACCCACTGCTTCAGTCCAACATCTACATTATCAGGATGATGAAGATGAAACAAGAGTGGATGTTTCAGCAAAACAATAGCTGCGTTTCCATCCACCTATTTTTATGGTCATTTTGGATATGCGCATACAAAAACGGTTGATGGTAACGTCAAGATGCGCATAAATTTAGAAAATGCGCATCAAAAACGTATGCGCATAACTGAGTGGGAGTTTTACCCGATAAGAAAAGATGCGCATAAACTGCAATGGAAACACTTTTACTGAACAAATTCCAGTATGTGCATTAAAAAAAAAAGTCACGTGATTTTGTTATACAATAAACATGTGATCATAAAAATGTGTGTGAATGAACAAACCAGCAGGCTGAGCACACTGTTTAACATCTGAAATGGTTTTTCTAGGTCATTCTAAAACGCCTTAACCGTTTCAGTATTAGTGTTATAATATTATTAATGACCTCCAGAACTGTCAAGAGCTTCTGTGCTCCACGTCTCATGCATTCAAACGCCACCACGCATTCATTGTGTTGTAGTGTCTTCATAGGTGCAAATCATTTATTTAATAAAGAAAAGACGCAGCTTCTCCTACCGTGGGAAATTCCATTTTTACTGTTGATATTTGGCGTCAGATAATCAGGAGGTGATGATTTTGTTCGCTTTGACTCGTTGGATAAAAACGCTGCATTATTCACAAATGTTTTATGCGATAATCCAGTTTTGTGCATAAAGTTAATTTGCATTTGTAAACTCTCAAATGGTTTCAGAAAAAGAAAATCAAGCTGTAGAATGGCCCAGCCAATCACCTGACCTGAATCCAATTGAAAATACAAAATAAAGCTCATATTTGTTGAAGTCTGTGAACAAAAAAAATCATATCTGAGCAATGCATGTGACTTCATTCTCCATTTGAGAGTCGTCTTTAAGCTGCCATCACCAAAAAAGCCTTCTACATAAAGTATTAAATACGTTTTAATAGTTCAATACTTTCCCCTTGTGTCACTTCGTTGTTTTTACACATAACTATATTTTCAGATTTTTTTGTTTTGTTTTACGTTTGTATTGTTTGAGTTTTTACCAAAATCTTGTTCAGTTCCATGTTAACAGCTCCTTTTGAAATATTATTCCCAGGAAAAAAACATGACATGTTCAATACTTATTTTCCTCGCTGTATATAATGTTAAAGGAAAATACCACGTATGACCTGTAAAACTAAATTCACACTTATTTCTGAGTCAGAAGTTGTATGTATTTGCTTATATTTGCTAGTATGCTTCTATTTAAATGGCCAAATTCAAATAGAAATCTTCGGTATCCATCTTTCAGGCATTCCTAGATTCAGAAGTGATTTTTAGAGTGTGCTGGAACAATAATGAACTGAAGTGCCATCATCTCATTTGCTCCTTAGTCTTTAAGTGACCCGCATCAGGATTTTCGAGATTCAGAAGTGATTTTGGAGTGGGCTGAAGTAACAATGCATTTCAATCCCATCATCTCATTTGTTAGAGCTAATGTGCCTCTCTAACGAGTTTTTAATCACTTATCTCCAAGAATAGCTGTAAGTCTTGATCCTCGTGTCTCTGAGCTGCACATTAAGCTAAGGTTAAATAGGGGAGCCTACTGTGCCTTGTACTCCCTTCAATTTTTACCCATGATGATTCATTTTTTCAATCAAACACTACAATCAAAATGCATATCTAACACACAAACCTTCACTCTCAATGACAATCTGAGTTTATAAATTTTTCTTATAAATTATTATTGAAAAGAATTCTTAATTGTTTTCCTCTCATGTGATGGATGGAAAAACCTTATCTGTATCAAGTCCGTCATGGAGTAATTGTAAAACAAGCCATAAGATTCTATTTTAAATGAAATTATTTGGTTTGTTTTTGTATTAGAATTGGTTGAAATGTCTTAATGTTTAAAAAAAATATTTATTTTTTTCACATTGTACATTGTTGCCGCAGTGCTCTGATTGGTTAACTGACCCACACACTGTGTTGTGATTGGTCAGACAACCTCAATCTGTGTGTCTAAAAGCCAAAACTTGCTGGTAGGGCTTAACATGTCAAATTAATAAAAAAGCAAGAGCAAACACAAGTTAAATAATATGAAGTAAATAATGCCACTGGTTTTAACGTCATCAAATAACGAGCCAGATTGTGACAAGGAAGAAGAAGAAGGAGATTAATTGGATCAAAGTTTGTATCAAAGAAAAGCCTTTACAGTGGGATGTTTTTATTTTTTGAAATTCTCAAAACACAAAGCATCTCCACTACATTATTATAATGTCACATAGTGTTTTTGTTTTTTTGGACAGCATCGTGCTAATGTTTCAAATGGTGATAGATGTTTTTTGTAAGCAGCAGAATATAGGAGACTGTTGGAGCTTTGTAAGATTGCAGTCCTTACATATGCATAGACAAACCCATTATATCTTAAAAGAAAATATAAAAAAAACATTTTATGGTTTGAGCAGTGTTGAGTGTAGAAAGAAATGGAAAAATAAACACATACAAAATTAAATTATCCCTTGTGCACTGTTCAAATTTTCTACCTTTTTGTTATGTTCGGGATAAAAACATCTACTAAATTAAACTGCTGTAAAAATGCATCAGATAAATTTTTTTTATATCTGTTAATTAACCTCTGTCCTGATCAAAACTACTAAATCTTTTTTTTTTTTTTAAAAACTCTTTAATTGCCAAGCTCACTAATAATGTAACTGATTTAAACACACAAAATTTCAATATAAAAAGTAATTGTGGACTGGATTTTTTAAAACTTTTTATCACAGTGTTGGACATGTGAAATATTAGTAACATCATTGCCTTTGATGCATTGTTAGTTTTTGTGCCGTATAACATTTAAAAAATGTCCCCCTAATTTGCTGTTGATGGCTGTTTTAGACACATTGACTTCCATTATACAGTGCTCAGCATTCATGAGTACACCCCTCACAAATCTTTCATTTAAATTAATGTTTTCTAAAGGAAGTTTACATTATTATATTTGTGCAAAAACATTAGATTATTAAGTACTGAAGCCAAATCTGAAACTAATCTACCAAAATAACTTATGATAATGGTCTAAAATCAGTACACCTAAATTTATAGGTTAGAAAAAAATATTAATACAAATAATACAACGTTTTAAAAGAGCAAAATTTAAGAGATTTTACTATTTTGCTTGAATTTAAATTTATAATATTTCTATTTCTAAAGCTTTTATGTGACAAAAAATATTTTAATAAATGTATCCATTTAATAATTCTGTTTTGTTCAAATGCGCCAAAATACATTGCCTATATTCAATGATTCAATGGGGTGTACTCAATTATGCTAAGCACTGTAACCACATGTTTTGATTGCATAACCATTAAAACTATATATTCATGCATTTGTAATTGTTGGTGGTTTTGCCTGTTGGAAAAAGGTCAAATTTGCAATTTGTGTGGATGTGTGTGAGTGTGAGAGTGACCTTTGTGCACTTAACTTGATGTATCTGAGAAAATCAAAACATGCATCTCAGCTCTCAGAACTACATGGAGTAAACAAAAACAAAGTCTATGTATTTATGCACAGCCTGCCTTTTGATCTTGAGAAGTACAGACTAAACAATAACAAGGCCAGAGTGTATTGTTGAGTTTTTATTGTTCCTAGTTGAAACACAAAAACGATGTGACCAAATTAAGACTCAAAATCACCCCAGAGTGGATGAAAACAACCCCAACAGTACATAAGGGTTATATATTATTTATATTTCTTAAACTGATTAAATTTCACATAAGATAAAGCAAATATGCAGTATTTCTCCAAAGGAAGTGCGTGTGTGTGTGTGTGTGTGTGTGTGTGTGTGTGTGTGTGTGTGTGTGTGTGTGTGTGTATGTGTGTATATATATATATATATATATATATATTTGTGTGTGTGTGTGTGTGTGTGTGTGTGTGTGTGTGTGTGTGTGTGTGTGTGTACATACACACACACTTTTTTTTAGAAAAACATCTATAGAGAAAATCCATGTATAGCCTAATTTGTTCCTCTTCTTTATAAACAGGACTTACCACACTCCAAGTTGTGCTGGACACAGCAGCAGAGAAGAAATGGCAGGTGACCGCCATCAACGTGGGCAACATGAAGGATGAGAGAAAGGATGAAGCATATCGCTCACTCTTTCAAGACCTGGAAAACAAGAAGGAGCGGAGGGTCATTCTAGATTGTGAGCAGGACAAAGTTAAAGACATCATGGAACAGGTATAGACATCAACACATATGCAAACATTAATGATATAAACAATTAGATTACAAGTCTTTATAATCTAAAATGCATTTGAATGTTTTAAGTATTTCAGGCATTATGTGTGCTGTTTTTGCAACATATATTTAGTATACAGTACAATATTTAAATCTTATCAGAAGAGACGTTTCATGCATATAAATAAAAGTTCTTGGAGCCAATGCTGTAATTGATCAAGTGACACCAAAGGCATATGTACAAACGATGTCTGCTTAAAATAAAATAAGTATTTCATGTGGGCTGGTTCCCAAAATACTTTTAGTGAGCACAAGTATTATTATAATAAAAGTTTTTTGAGCCACAGATTTCCAAATGATTTGGGGATTTCAGAGGGATCAAGTACTAATGCTGAAAATTCAGCTTTGCTATAAAAGAAATAAATTATTAAAAAAAAAAACATCTAGATTATATTAGAAAATTGTTGTTTTTAATTATAATAAACTGATGAAAATTATTATAAATACATATTTTTATTTGCAGTATGTAATCAGATAATGAAATAAATAAATACATTTTCCAGCTCAAACAGTTCCCAAGTAAATGATTGTATAAAGTCACAAGTCTGCATAATAATTACAAAAGAAATTTAATGCAGTAAAACTTTTTAAGAGGACCATAACTATGAATCATCAATGAGTTTATTCAAATAGCAGCCATTAGCAGGCAGAAAAGTACTCATGAGAAGAGTTTTTCATTCACACTTGCTAAACCCTCAGGGAAGAGCTATTGATTTGTATTTAAGACCAGCAAAAGTGTTTAACCAACCGCCACAATCAATACAGCTGATCTGGACTCTATACTACAGCATTATAAGCAGACACACACATACAGTGCACACATACATAGTAATGATCTTAAACAAACACACAAACCTCTCAAACAGCTTTAATTTCTGTCAGTTGGACTGCCAGTGTGGTTATCTCTTTTGTAAATAAAACATAAATCACCAGCAGTTGTAAGGTATGAAAAGTCCAAAATGTGAAAAAAATTGAGATTTCATGTGACTCCAAGTTTGCATTTTGCAGTTGTGACTTTTGTTGTTCACGTTTGACAAAAATTTTCCTCAGATCTGAATACTCAAATTCAGACTTTGGCTTAGAGCTGTGCAGTAAATCGAAACTGAATCACAATTCGCAATTTGAAACGTTAAAATTAGCTAATCGCAAGAGGCTGCAATATGAAATATATATATATACAGAATATTATTTAATTTCCCCAACCCAGCGCAAATGCATGACTGCCGTCTGTGTGTGACTGTCTTACTAGCCAACTGAGCAAACACACTTTCGTTCTGCCCAATCAGAATTGAGCAACAGAACTATATGGAACGCCCACAATAAAAATAAATAAATAAAAAAAACAGGAAAGCGCAGACGAGTGGGATGATGGCGTCTGCTGCGTCAATATCATTAATATACAAATTAATATTAAAGAAAAACAGCATGTTGGTTATAAGGGAATATTTTAATTTTAAAGTCACAGACACCGAACATAAACAGGTAACTTGTAAGAGCTGTCGCAGAATTGTTGCCAGCAGGAGGAATTACTGTACCACAACAAGCACCTAAAAAAAAACCACAGGCAGCTATATATGGATTGTGGTTGAGCTGAAGCTT